TGGACCTGAATACAGTACAATAGATACATAGAATTCATATAGTTGATCCCGACTTATTTGGGATCGATACAAAGTTGGTTGATTGAATTTCTCCATGTCTGTTGTTTTTGATGTTCAGTTCAGACTTTTGTTTTAACTTATGTAAATGGTGGTAAAAGAACATCTTTTTTTTTTTTTTTTTGATGACAATGGAAACCCGCAGCCGCTACCTTTGGGTGCGCACAGGGTAAAAACCCCGCTCCTATGCAATAGCTCGCAAACCACATAGGAGAGGTAACCCACACTAGGCAAGCCCGGTGCGACGAGCTCGACCCAGAAGGCAAATCCCTTGCTTTCGCTGGCAAGGGGTTTTGAACTTGAGACCTCCAACATGAAAGTCTCACGCCCAAACCATTGGGCCACCCCGAAGGGTTAAAAGAACATCTTTTGCTGGTCCATCATATAGTTTTGGAGGGCTTGGAACAAATTCATAAAGTCTTTCAGAGTTCAATACAGAGTGTTTGTACAATAAATCATTATGGGGTTTTTTTATATTGGGAACATGAAGTCGATGGAGTCTTGCTTAAGGTGTTACAGTAATCTTTTTCACATGTAGACGAAGGGAACATTTTGCAGAGTACAGTTTGGATTTTAACTTGTAGGAATAGAGTAAAGTTTAGAATTGTAAGTGTCCATGTAGAGCAGAATGGATATAAATGATTCATATAGCCACCTCTACTAGTTTGTAATTGAGGCATAGTTTTTACTGTTGTAAAGTTTGGATTTTTATGTATTCATATAAGACAGGTGAAGTTGTATGTTGTTAAAAGATACAATGAATTCTTAAAATTCTATACTATGTGTTTTCCCTACATTTTTTTTTCTTTTTCTGATTATAATCATAGCTATCTAAGCATTGAAATCAATTCTCTCAGAAGTCAAAAATATGTTATAAATGCAAATAATGCAGATGTTTGTGATGGAGCTTTTAGTAATTTTGTAATTGTGTAGCCAAATCCACATGCACCATTTTTCTATGAGACTAAGATAATTTCTTTTCAACAGAATATGAAAAGAGGTTTCACTATTTCAAAAAAGGAAAATATGGAAGGTTCACTTACTAAATTGTCAAAATCAGTAGTCTTTGCATCCTTCTTAGGTTATTCCTACAATTATTAGAGATTGGAATCTCTTTACATTCATGGCATGATAATGTGGAGTATACATTTCTGTGTATCAAGCTTATCTTCTTTACTTGCCATTGGACATGGAGCTGCCATTTATTTTCTGGTTGGATTAATGATGTCTACTGTCTCAGTATAAACTCATACTTGGATGAGAAATATCGAGAATGATTACTATGTTTATCTGTTTTTTTTTACATCTATTCTCCAAATAGCAACCGTTTAAGATCACTATTCTTGATAAGCTAAGATGGTTTGGGTAGTCATTCAGACATGACCAGCTATGTTGGATGAAAGTTTGGTTAAACTCCAGTAGTTTAAGAAAAGGACCTATCAGTTACGGGGTGTTTTTCAACATTTCAGGGGAGTTAGACCTTTGATGCTACTTGCTATTCCTTTGGGATAACTTATTATTTGAGATTGATTGATAGATCATTGTACTATACCTCAAAAGGTCCAGCAGTTTTAGTTAGCAGTTTTTAACTACAAATCATTTGTATTCAATTTCTCCCTTTAGGAAGTGCTGGCCCAAGAGAAGGTGCAAGCATCATCTTCTGTTAATCAAGACATAGATCTTGATGAACTAATGGATGTAAGTTTGCATACCCTTCAATGTTTCTCCTTCTAGGCACATAATTTGTATGCCTGTTCACTTGCTCATTGTGCTTTTAACAGGATCCTGAGCTGGAAAAGTTGCATGCAGATAGGATTGCCGCTCTCAAGGTCTGTTATTTTGTCTTGCCTGCAGGCCAACGTAGTTAGTTATATCTGGAGGCAAAGTACCTGATTGTTAGACAATTGGTTTCTTTGAACTCTCTTCTGCAGAAAGAAGCAGAGAAGCGACAAGCTTTAAAAAGGCAAGGGCATGGAGAATATAGAGAGATTACTGAAGGAGATTTCTTGGGCGAAGTTACTGGTAGTGAGAAAGTGATTTGTCACTTCTATCATCGAGAGTTCTACCGATGCAAGTAAGGGCTTACTTCATGTTTCAAAGTTCACTGTCCTTCTCCCAGACAAAAGTAAAAGACATAAATTCCAGTTCTTTCTCAATTGCAGTTAATAAGAGGAAAGTTCTTTCTCAATCGCGGTTCCTATTATTCTCTGATGTTATCTGTGTTTGAGAAAGAGAGGGAGAGGGAGAGGGAGAGAGAGAGAAAGAGAGAGAGTTGTATAATTTCCCAGTTTGAAAAATTCTGGTATTTCACATACTGCAAATTTGTAGTTTGAGTTGCTTTGGAGTCAGTAGCGCGCACATCAGTCTTCTAACTTATAATCTGATGCAACAAGCTTGACACTATTCATTAATATCGTTGCTAAATTTGCATCTTGAAGGTACCACTTGTGACTGCTTTACCAAGGTTAACTAGCCATCCAATTTTTTATTGGACGAGTTGTGATAATTCTCTTGCTTGTCTTTGTATTTTGATGCATTGACGCCTCAACATATATTAATCTAGCTATAAATACTTAGAAATGGAAAAAAATAAATAGAATTGTACATATCCACTTGCATGCATACACAAGCATAATGGTCTTTGTTGCTTTTTCAGGATCATGGATAAGCATTTGAAGTCTCTTGCACCAATACATGTTGATACAAAGTTCTTAAAGTTAGATGCTGAGGTCTGTTTTGCTTGAGTTCTTGGACAATTCTTTATCAGATTATACAGTAGAAATAGTCCTGAAATTTTGTGAAGTATCTGCGCCCACCTATGCGTGGAAGTTAACATAGAAAAACAAAAAAACAAAAAAGTCACATAGACTGGCTCTATAACTTTTGGAGGACTGTGCAGATTGGATCTCATTTTCGTGCTAATAACTCATTTTTATTGTATAACCTAATGGCAGAATGCTCCCTTTTTTGTTACAAAGCTGGGAATTAAAACTCTACCATGCATCATCTTTTTCAGGTTAGTGCATCTGCTTTGCACTGCGTTGTTAATTCTCCTATAATATGTCTATGTTTGGGTGGTTCTCTGGTTGCTTTCAAGGCCAAATCAAGAAGATTAAATTAGCTCGTTTCTTCAAGCAATAAGATCGAACCTAAATTGTCCTAATTTATTTGTCTCAACAATATAGATCAAATGATCTGTTAAAACAGGCCCACACACAGGGAAAGTGAAATATCAGTCCGTCATTGTTGTAAGGGAGCTAGCGTGGATTTTCTGAACTTGGTTTCTGCTTGTTTTCTTTTTTTCTTCCAATTTTACTGTGAGTTAGAGGGGGGAGCTACCATGATCTTCACAAACATATACTTTACATGAGGACCTAATGATAACTGCCTGAACAAAACTGTGGTAAAGGGAAGGGAGCAGTCTTATTTATGATTCCAGACCTATTCTTCCAAAATTCGTACACATGCATGTGAATATTAGAATCAATGCATCCGTAGGGGGTTTGGTTAGTTATACTAGCTCTTTCCCAAACGATGTCATTTTCTTTTAATCTACACTTAACAGAATTTTGCTCTTCAGGAATGGAATAGCTTCAGATAGGCTGGTTGGTTTTCAAGATTTGGGAGGAAAAGATGACTTCAGCACAAAGGCTCTGGAGGGTTTTCTGCTAAAGAAAGGTAATGCTTTTTAATTGGATGCATGATCGCTGATAGGCCAATGTATTATCTGTCAATTGATCCGTATTAAATATTGGCGGGTTGGATTTTGTTATCCATTGTTATCCAACCTATTTTTTATACCGACATCCTGCCTGCCCATGTGCCAGCACTGAATTTCTTATACATAGCTTATGGCAATCACTAAACCATCTCTGGTGCAGGAATAATCAAAGAGAACAAGAAAGAAGAAGAGGATGATGATTCATATGATGATAGAAATAGATCAGTGAGATCGTCAATCAATCCTGATTCTGATTCAGATTGATGAGTAATTAGGGGTCATTGGTTTCTTCTAATCAAACGAGTATTCATCGACATCTTCCATTTGCTGAATCTCACAGATTTATCTAATACAATGTCTTTGCATTGTTGAGATGATAACTGCAAAAGATTGAATATTCTGCTTGAAATAGTATGTTGTAGTAGTTTATCTGTTGCTTCTTAGTCCAGTTTTACGGAGAGAAGAAAACAAACTGTATTATTGCAAAGTGGTCTGAATTCTTTCCATTTCTCCCAACAGGCTCTTGAAAGTATGTAGTTGTATCCGAATTCTATTATTGTAAGTTTTTGAGAAAATGAACGAAGAGACGTGGTAGCTTTGCACTTTTCTTTTCACCTTTCTAAAAAGGTCTGATATTATTACAAGTTTAGTGCAAGGAGCTGTCTATCATAAGAATAAGTGCTGTGTATGTAAGTGCATTATCTCATTTTTTGTAATTTTCATATCCAACCCTATCTTTTAAAAAGCTTTACGTAATTTGCTTTTAGATGCTTCACTTTAAATAGTATTTGTTCAAAATTGAGTGTATAAAATGAATATCCAGAATTATACACAAAACCTCTCCCTTCTTCTCTTTTTCATCTTTTATATACTGTGAAACTCTGCTCTGCTTTGTATTCCTTTAAATTTTTTTGATATAAACTAAAGTGTTAATTAGCCTTCTGTCTCTATCTCTGTGTGGATGCATAGCTATAGCCTGTATGTGGTTGTTGATGCATTATGTCTTCAGTAATCAGTGAAGTTCTTCTGTCTGGTTTTATCGTAAACTCAACCCTTCATCGACGTACTCACTTGGTTCAATCCTTCTCTGTTGTCTTCCTTTACTGGTTCTATGTGTTTTCATGAACATAAATTAAACTTCCTTATTAAGTTCTTCAGCTTTAATTAGTTTTATTCTGTTTCTTCAAATGAGTTTTGAATACTGAATGATATATAGAAAGTTATGGCTTCTTCAAATGGAACTTATTCAGGGTTATTAAGGAAGAATGGTACTGAAGATGAAAGAAAACGTAAAAGAATGATATCGAACAGGGAATCAGCAAGAAGATCAAGAATGAAGAAACACAAGTATTTGGATGAGTTATTGGCTCAAATGAATCTACTCAAGGAGGAAAATAATCAAATTGTGATTAACATAAATATGGTTAATCAGCTTTACTTGAACATGGAAGCAGAGAACTCTGTTCTCAAAGCTCAGATGGTTGAGTTAAGTCACAGGCTGCAGAGTGCTGAGGAGATCATTAACTGCAATAATGTTAATGCTGGAGATGATTTCTTGAAAACTTGGGATTTTCTACCATGGGAATCAGAGCGGATAATAACAACATATCCAGTGTAATTTCATAAGTGAGGTCTGGGGAGAATGACGTGTATATAGACCTTACCTTACCTTGAAAGGGAGTGAGGTTGTTTTCGATAAACCTTTCATTTATGTATGATGAACAAATCATTTCTTTTTCCGTACTTAGGTTTTGCTTGCGCAATGTTGTACTATAGTGGCCTTTGACCATTAGAGATCAATATAACTAATCGGATGTGCATAAATTGAAGTATATCATGCTTGAATTATTGGCAAAAATAGTTTTAAATATGATCGAGATATTAATACGAAACAAACTAGACCTGACCTACGACTAAAAAAACATTAGATAATAATTTCAAACGTCACTGGTCATTCAGGTTATCATGAACGGATGAACTTTTATTGTTTTACCCTTCTAGCTTACTATATTTTTCTTCATCTATTTATGCTTGTTCATTATATTTTAAATAAATTTTTATTTTATTTGTTAAAAAAAGAAGAAGGTAATTTTCTATTTTATACATTTGTCAAGTATAAAGAAAGGCAATTTTCAAATGTTGTAATACTATATATGATGTAGTAGATGATATCCACTTAGAGCTATTATTCCATCATATTATTGCGATATCTCATCCATTGGAATAGTGCCACGTAGAGTTTTAGTGGTCCCTTTCCTATCCATTTGTCATAGTTTAGTTTATCATTTTATTAATTAAAATTTAATCAGTCCAAATTCAACTCCTTATTATAATACTAATCAATCAAGTTTTCAACTAAATATAGATAGATATGTCTATTAATTATTAAATAAAATAAAAGGAGACTGATTACTTATCAGTTATCACCCTCAATAGAATGTATGGTCGATGGTTTAGTAACATGTTAGGCAATCTGTGTTTAAAACAGTACTACTAATTTCAACAAACTTTGCAGAAACACGAAGTTACCAAAGTTTAAATGAACCAGTGAAGAACATAAATTAATTAACAAAAACTAAAATCTGTAAAAACAGAATGGAAAGAAGATCAAGCCCACTGAATGCACAATGTCCCCTTAAGGAAATTATTCTCCTCTAGTATCCTAGGTTTGATTTGGAATATGTCCTCCCAGGATAGAATGATCTCAATCACCAGTGTATTGATACCCAAAACTCTGGTGTCAGTGAGCCACTCAACGGCAGTAAAATACACGAATGAAATTTGTGCAGAAGAAGAAGAAGAAATCAAAAATTTTCGTAAGTAAAAAGTCTGAAGAATTACTGGTATTTATAGCCAAGAGGAACTGGTTCCGAAAGGTTGCAACCTTTCAGAATCCACACGACCATTCATGAAAGTTTGCAACCTTTCAAACGGTCATGGCTGTTCATGAAAGTTGCAACCTTTCAGAACAGTCATCTTTAACGGCGGGAAATTCAAATAAAACAGGAAAGTATTTTAAATAAAACGGATCGCGCAGATTCGAGTCGGGTCGAAACGTTTCGGTTAATTAACTAAATAATTGAAACATTTTGGCCATTTAATTTAATTTAATTAATTAAATAAATAAATAACTAAATAATTAATACAAAACTTTGTCCAAAAAATAATATCTCGATCGATCATTTTCCAAAGCCAAAGCCGAGCCGAGGACGACGACGACAGCGCGAGGGGGGTCCCTCTTTCTAACCCTTTTAACAACTAATATAAGTGTTTCTCTATTTAAACACTTTTATTTTTCTTTCCACCACCAATGAGGGAGAAATACCTTTTTACTAAAGCATAAGAGAACTTTTCAAGTTCCTCTCTTTTCATCTTCGCTCCATTTCCCATTAACTCTTGCTATATACCCAACAATCCCCCACATGGGGAATGGTTATAACATAAGGAATGCACAAACGAGTGTATACTTTACAAGCAAGGATCAATTGCATCTGGATAAGTAGGTTTCCCCTTGGATTTTTCATAGTAAACATATGTCGGATATACTCGGACAATCGGTAGATGCGATATCTTTGAACCGTCGAGCTTTGGTGTATACCTAGACAATCATATGTCACATAATTAACCCTTTACCGTTTATGGTTCTTACGGTTGTGTTCGTTTCAACCATGAACACCTCCTGGTTTTATGAGTGTATAAAGAACAGTATTTTGACAAAAAAATCTCTTTGAAGCGGCTTACACTTCACACTCACATAGGTGATTTCTAATCGTGTCATCGCGTAGATACACTATTTGGTCAAATCTACCAAACTTAACAAATTATTAAAAACTTTAAGCTTTATTACCTCATTAACAAGCCTTAATGTTTTAACCTCGTTCCTGAACATTGCAATGGATTAAGTTGATTGACAATGTCGAACCATCAGTCACAACTTTGTTTTTCTCCTTGAATCTAGCTCTTGGGATCTCCAGTCTGCTAGATAGAGTTACCGTCATGATGACTTATCCTAAGCCGTAAACCCATTTTCTTAGATGATCTTTCAACTGCCTCTCTCACTAGGCCTTTCGTTAGTGAATCTGACACATTATCGCTTGACTTCACATAGTCAATTGTGATAATTCCACTAGAGAGCAGTTGTCTTACGGTACTATGTCTCCGTCGTATATGACGAGACTTCTCGTTATACATGACGTTTTCTGCCCTACCTATTGCTGCTTGACTATCACAATGTATGCAAATAGGTCCCACATGTTTGGGCTATAATGGAATGTCCTCTAAGAAATTTCGGAGCCATTCAACTTCTTCACCGACCTTATCTAAGGCAATAAATTCAGATTCCATTATGGAGCGAGCGATACATGTCTGTTTGAACGATTTTCAAGAGACTGCTCCTCCACCAAGTGTAAACACATAACCACTAGTGGATTTTACTTCATTTGACTCGGTGATCCAATTTGCATCACTACATCATTCAATCACGACATGAAATTTATTATAATGCAAAACACAGTGTTGTGTATGTTTTAGATACCCCAACACACGTTTCATTGCCATCCAATGAGTTTGATTAAGATTACTAGTGAACCGACTCAGTTTGCTAATAGCACATGCTATATTTGGTTGCGTACAATTCATAATATACATCGAACTTCCCCACACCCTGACATATTCCAATTGTGAGTCACTTTCACCTTCATTCTTTTGAAATGTAAAGCTTAAATCAATTGAAGTTTTGACATTGTTGAAATTCAATTACTTAAACTTATTCAATACTCTTTCAATATAATTAGATTGAGATAATACTAGTCCCTGAGGAGTTTTGAGAATCATGATCCCTAAGATCAATCAGCAACTCCTAAGTTCTTCATATCAAACTTGCTGGACAGCATGCGTTAGTAGCATTTATATCGTCAATATCTTTACTCATTATTAATATGTATTCATCAACATACAAACAAACAATGACCTCATGATTAGAAACGTTTTTAATGTAAACACACTTATCATATTCATTAATCTTGAATCCATTTGCCAATATTGTTTGGTCAAATTTAGCATGCCATTGTTTGGTGCTGCTTAAGCCCATAAAACAACTTCACAAGCCTGCACACTTTCTCTTCTTTTCCAGGAACTACAAACCCTTCTGGTTGTTCCATGTAAATTTCTTCCTCCAACTCTCCATTTAAGAAGGTTGTCTTTACATCCATTTGGTGAATTTTAAGATCATGCACTGCCGCTAGTGCTATTAACATCCTAATTGATGTTATCCTTGTTACTGGAGAGTATATATCAAAGTAGTCCAGACCTTCTTTTTGTCTGTATCCTTTGACTACAAGTCTAGCCTTATATTTGTCAATAGTCCCATCGACTTTCATTTTCCTTTTAAAGATCCACTTTTATCCTAAAGGTTTATTTTCTGGAGGAAGATCAACCAATTCTCAAGTATAGTTAGTTAAAATTGATTCGATCTCACTATTGACTACTTCTTTCTAATAAGTTGACTCAGACGAAAACATAGCTGCTTTAAATGTTTGAGGCTCATTTTCAAGAAATAATGCCACAAAATTTGGTCCGAAAGAAGTGAATTTCCGTTGGTGATTACTACGCCTAGGATCCTCATTAGGGAGTGTATTTTTCGTTGATTCTTCCCGTGGTCATTTAGATTTTTCACTTGTCAACTCACATTCAGTTTTATACGGATAAATGTGTTCAAAGAACTCAATGTTATTTGGCTCAATTACCGTATTAACATGAATTTCAGGATTATCCTATTTTGGAACCAAAAACCGACAGGCCTTACTGTTCACAAATCATATTCAATAAATACACAATCCACTATTTTGGATCCAATTTTTACCCTCTTGGGTAAAGGAACCTCTACCTTGGCTAAACACCCCCACACTTTGAAATATTTCAAGTTGAGCTTTCTTCCTTTCCATAACTCATATGGAATCGATTGTGTTTTGCTACGAGGTACCCTATTGAGTATCTTTTTAGTCGTAAGGATGGCTTCCCCCCACATGTTTCGCGGTGAACTAGAACTGATTATCAAGACATTCATAATTTCCTTTAATGTCATGTTCTTCCGTTCCGCCAAACCATTTGATTGTGGCGTATAGGGTGCAATAGTTTGATGAATAATACCATATTCCAAAATATATCTCTACAAAAGGAGATTCGTATTCTTCACCCCTATCACTCCGAATTATTTTTATCTTTAGATTCAATTGATTTTCCACTTCATTTTTGTATTGCTTAAATGCATCAATTGTTTCATCCTTACTATTAAGCAAATATACATAACAAAATCGAGTGCAATCGTCAATAAAAGTTATAAAATACTTTTTCCCACCGCGAGATGGTATTGACTTCATATCGCATATATCTGTATGAATTAAGTCTAAAGGTTTTAAATTCTTGTCAACAGACTTGTAAGGATGTCTAATAAACTTACATTCCACACAAATTTCACATTTAGATTTATCACATTTGAAATCAGGCAATACTTCTAAAGTAATCAATTTTCGCAAGGCTTTGTAATTTACATGTCCCAAACGAGAATGCCATAAATCATTTGACTCCAATAAATAAACAGAAGCAAAATTCTTATTAATA